ATAATGAGCATGATCAAAGAAAGTTGGTCCCGCTTTGAGGAACAGATCGCTACAACTGGCCCCGGTCTCCTCTACATAACATATATAAGCAGGATACTGTACGAATAAAATAACTTGTGCAAAAATTAGAGCAGAAAAGTTTTTCAGTCACCCCCCAAAACGGTTTTTTAAAAGTTCTTTATAGCAAACATTATTACTCTGTGTTTTTCCCCAATGCCCACACTGCTTATTAGAAATGAAACGTAACATCGCCTATAAATGTAAATCAGTAGTGTTTGGTTTAGCCACTGCTCGACTAAATAGAAGTTCCCATGAGTATCTATCCAGGTTAACTACAACTAGCCATGCTGCTAACTGAATACCAAGCTAGCTTTTCAATGTTAGCCTCATAAAGAAACACTGTTTGCTTCGGAGTTAGCCTCGCGTGCAAATAACTTAAGTCGCTTACCTACGCACGTGAGTTAGACCACGCAGTCGGGAAAATGAGGACAGCATAATGTTCATTTTGAGATATTTAGGAATGTACAGATGACACCGACATGAGAGCAGTGAATGTCACAGGCAGGGCTGCTTCTTCTTCTTTGGTTTTGTTGAAAGACTGCAAACCAACGTTAAAGGTGAATGCTGCCACCTACTGATCCCAGCGTGTAAGATCCACAGAAATGGTTACATTAAAATTAGGTATTTTGGGATATTACTCTGAGTCACGGTACAACTGCTTTTGGTCCCGTTGGACTGACTTTTATTTTATTTTATTAAAAGTTTTTACACAACATTTACGTTGGTGTAAGGTATTTAGCATTTGTATATTCTAACTGCTCTAATAGGGTGAATGACCCACCAGACATGTTATGAGTTTTACATTGCTTGTGCCAGGTTGAACCCCCATATCGCCTTAATTCAGCCCTAATTCTTTATGGGATAAATTCAACAAGGTGTTGGAAACATTTTTCTGGTCCATGTTGGCATACACATTACACAGTTGCTGCATATCTGTTGTTTTCACATCCATGATCCTAATCTCCTGTTCTACCACATCTCAAAGATGCTCTTTTGGATTGAGATGTGGTGATTATGGAGTACAGTGAACACACTGTCATGTTCAAGAAAGCCATTTGAGATTATTTGACTTCAGGGTGTATTATTCTGCTGGGTGCAGCCTGAAGATGGATACACAGTGGTCATAGCAATGGGATGGGCATAGTGATCAACAACAGTCATCTAGGCTGTGTGCTCAGTTCTTACTAAGGAGCATAAAATGTGCCCAGAAAACACCATCGTACCAACACCAGCCTGAACTGTTGATACCAGGCAGGGTGGATCCATGCTTTGGTCAAGATTTGGTAACATGTGTAAAACATGTCCTCATTTTCCTGTTCTTAGCTGAATGTGCAGTCTTCTGTAGCTTAACTGCTTCAAATCTTGGCATATTGTGCATTCAATCGTGCTCTCCTGCACACCTTGGTTATAAAGAGTAGGGATTTGAGTTACCATTGCCTTTCGATTAGCTCAAAGCAGTTCGGCCATTCTCCTCTGACCTCTCACATCAACAAAGCAGAACTGCCACTTATTAGATTTTTTTTTTTTTTTTCATTTTCAGGCTATTCTTCCATGTTTTGGAAATCCCAGTAGATCAGCAGTTTCTGAAATACTCTGTCTGACAATAGCAACGATTCTACTTTCAAAGTCACTTAAATGACCTTTCTTCCTCTCTCTAATGCTCAGTTTGAGCTTGTGAGCTTTAGATGTGAGAAGATGTTTTTATAATAAAGTTTCTGTATAGTCTATCCTGGCATGCTGACTGAGGACTCCTTGAGCTGTAAGTGTAATTGCTGTTGAGTGCTCTGGTGGCCATCTAGAATGTTATATGTGTAATTCACCTGCATTTTGGAGGGTCTGCTTTTTGCATTGTTGCTATATTTTAATCTAAAAGTTTAGTCATTTAACATTAACTTCAGGCTAGCCTTTGATGTAAAAGACCACCATGTGATAAGACAATACACACATAAGCAGAGATATGCAAACACAAATTCTGAAGGTCTCTCTGCTGACAGTCGGTTTCAGTACTTTTCCATAACCAAGCTGTTGCTTAAAGTCTACCCTTTGTGCAGTACATTATCATTACAGTGATGATGTTTCGTGAATAATCTGCACACGGTAGGAGTCCTGAAAAGAACTGGCGCACGTTTTGTTTTTAGGCCGGTATCAGTGATAAAGGCCTAATTTTTTAAAATTGAATTTTAATCGTCCAAAACACAGATACAAACAGATAAACCAATGATTATTTACGCCAAGCAATAAAACAAAGCACCCAGTTGGCTCACGGGCTCTCCGCCCAATAGACGTCACAGATTGCTTTCCAGTGACTGGCACTGGACTGTCACAGCAGCAGGCCTACCAATTCGCTATGTGAGTTCAAGAAGGGGGCACTGCTCGAAATGTGTTCGATTAAAACTGAAAGGTCACGTCTGTCCTTGGCGGTGAGGCAACAATAACTCGTTCTCAGGTGACACTTTATGATGATAGTCCGCAATCAGATGTGGGATTTGAAATAAGACCCCACGCAGAGCCCCGACTGTGGTCACGTGCCAGCCCAATTTATTTAGATTAAATTAGCCGGACAGTCATTTTATCATTTGTCTCCTTTTCAGCGCCCAGGCAAGACCACACAGTCTTTTCCCCCTTTTCTTTCTTTCTTTCTTTTTTTTTTGCTGGCCTGTCAGCCCTAGCAACAAGCAAACAGGCGCCTCTCATTGGCCTCCTCAATATACAGCTTCTTTCTATTCGCCCTCCCCACCGCCACTCAGCAGCGAAAATACCCGAAGATTGCTGCTGGTGCTGCGGATTCAAGGGCAGCAGGGCTGGGTAGGGTCTGGCCCGAGTGCGCAGTGGATGCAGAGGAAGCGAGAAAAACACGGGCGTCTGTTTTCGTAATGGGTATATCATTAAACTACCAGTGGCACTCTTTTATGGATGCATGCTTTATCTTCACTCCATGCCCCCCTGCGGTCTGTAATGACGGTCTAATTGGGCCAATAAGGAGCTTTTACTGTTTTGCAGCATCTCTAGCGTAGACAAATTGTTGCGCCAGATGCAACGCCGTTCTCGGTACTGTGTGGTCGGCCCTTGACTGTCATCTTTGGGTGCAGGTTTCTCATCACCTTAATCATCAGTACTTCTGAAGGTAATGCAAATATTTTGGTTTTGTTTTAGCTTTTTTTGTATTGCTCTGTGACATCTGGATATCTGATGTTTACTGTGCAGCATATCAGCGCCAATAAACTGCTGCACGCATGATGCATGCATGCATTTCGCCTGAGACAGGATTAAAAATAATAACAGATTATGAATAATACAAGCAGTATCATTCAAATCGCACTATTTGTGAAGCCTAAAGCTGTTATATATATATAAATATTTATATAAACATTTTTGGTGCGTATATTTGTGAGTATTTGAATCTTCTTCTTATTGCGATGTATGAATTGTTTAAAAAATAATAATCATAATAATCATGTGTTGTTGTGATGTTTGTGCATCAGGGGTTTTTAACATAACGGTCTCATGTTGAAAATATAGGCCACTCACTTCACGTGCATCTTGACAGACTGCGCCTCACTCTGCTAGACTCTTGTTATGGAAATGCAGCAGCACACAGTGTACCGAATGTGTGTTACTGTAAGAGTTGGCAGGCCTGTCAACCTAAATATTCTGCAATGCAGACACACAAAACAAACAACTTCAACATGGCTGAGTAACCTTCAGCCCTGACTTAGGTCGAGGTTGGATGTCGCGGAAACCATTACACTTGCTCCCCACAGCCATGTTCCAGACCTGCTGGCGGGATTGGAGAATTGTAGGTCAGGAAGAGAAGCCCAGATTTGAGTGGGAGGACTGTTGGATTTGTGCTGCTGTAGTTTGTTTTGTGCCGATCTGTTGATTGTCGATGGCCATGTAGAATATTTTTTATCTATGTGTTTTTGTTTTGTTTGTTTTGTTTTGTTTTGGCAGACTAGCATGGTAATAACCTTGCTCTTTGGGGAGGATTTTGCTTCTTGTGTTGATGTTCTGTTTTAATGTAAGGTGTACGGTGCTTGAAAAACTGGCACGTGCACAATATACAAAAATATACCTAAAGGATTTGTTTTTGTCAGGTTTCCACAGACATCCACCAACAAATAATCATTCCCACTATTTACATTTTGTTTTTATATTTCTTTAAACCTATCAAGGTACCAATCATTAAATATACTAAGCACCCAGCATGATTGGAAGACAATAAAGATGTAAACAACATGTTTACATTCTTGTACTATTTTGTACTTTGTACTACTTAGTATAATTTGCCAAAATGCGCATTAATATAGGGGAATGCACAAATATCCTACAATAATGCACATAATGCTAAATGGTGATGAGTTGCAAATGCAGCTCAACTCAAATGTTACAAGGGTTTTCAATTTGTGTGTAAAAATAAGGGTTCATTTTGCATCCAGTGAGATCACTTTGCATTCACACAAAAGTGTGCTGAATGATAGTGCAGATAATGCATACATAGTGCATAGACACAACAGCAGTTCCTTAAACAAGGAAGCAAACAAGGAAACAATAAAGTCTCACCAGCTACTGAAGATGTGACTCAGCCTTGTGTGTTTCCTAGAGATAACCGTGTTTTGTATCAAAAGTGGGGACGCTAACGTGTGTGTTTGTGCTGCTGACAGCAGACTGTCAAGCAGTGGCTGGACCTGAACGGAAACATAGAAACCAGCTCTCATCTCCCGCTGGAAAGAATGCAGTTTGGAAAACTGCTATCACATTGTCGTGAGACACACAGTCCGCAGACATGTGTCATGCCCTCTGACTGGAGTTCTCTATTTATATATATCCTGATTCTGACCATGTGAAATGGAGGGGTTATTAATAGCAGACATCTAGCTTGGCCTAGGTTTTTTACATGGTGTGTGGTGCAAATACTGCTTTGCAGTTGTTTGTTGAATGCATCAGAATGTCAAGCCAGGTGAGTCACTGAGGTGAGTGTGTTAGTAGAGACTTAAACAGCTCTGTTGGATATAATATGGCTATTAATCTTGAAATGTGTTAAAGTACCCTTTATTTTGGCGTACTTTCTTTCTGGCTCTGGACTGATGAAGGATAAAGAAAGCCTTTTCCTTGTGTCTCTGTTGCTAGGAAACAGCTTGGGTTCAGTTTTGTAGGAATCAAGCTGGGTCCGATTTCTTGCAGTGCAGCCAATGCCATTGGCAAAGCACTGCAAATGGAACAAGTTAGAATGCTTGAATGTTTGTAACTGTGAGACTAAATGAGCTGTGAAAAGTAGGGCAAGACATTAAAAATGTTTTTTTCCTCCCCTTATTTCAAAGGAAGCATCAGAGTACTGATATGTTTTATTTGTGTCTGTGTGATGTTGTTCCTGCAGGGAAACACCATGCTGACTAGCATCACTGAAGGGATACTGTGCTGCCTGACTGGGAAGACTGCCAATCTAGTCTTGCCCCTGGAGTCATCAGAACCCTCTGATGGTTTTGAGTATGTGGAGGTGAAACCTGGGAGAGTCCTG